CATTTTTAAAGGTCCAACTACTCAAATTTAGAACTAAAACCAAATCAACCAACTACTATATTTGAATAGCTATCAAGGAAAACAACTAGAGTGCAACACTGGTGTTTTCAAATAATATAAACTCTCCCCCCTTCAATGAACAACTATTTAAAATCTTCTGCAGTCCAAAAGAGAAATTCTACTTTTAAAGGTGGCAAATATGGGAAAAAATAGCAGCTCACCTCCTGAATTACTAAAAAGATTTAATATCAATCAAGTATAATAGTGTCTAACACCTTAAACAAAATAAATACGGTCTTCATAAAACATCCTAGTTTCCCTCTAGTTCACCTTATGACCTTTTTGATTTCACTGTCAACAATTTCCTCTCATTTTATTTTCTTCCTGGGGGGAAAAAAATGAAAGCTTTCTTTAAATAAGTTAAGTCTTTATACCCATCTGGGCATAAAGACAGCTATGGCTATTGTGGGAAGTGCTGTGATGTCTTTTACTTTTCAATATAGTTTTAAAAATTCAATATTTATTTAATCCAGGAAAATTTTCAAATAACTTTATTTAAGGGAGTCAGTAATTTCTTTTCTTTTAATATCCATCACTAAAATGTAATGGGAAATGTTTGCTGGCAGCACAAATGTAATCGTGGAATCAGAATGCCCAAGCAGGTTTCCTCTTATGGGCTCCTAAAGAGTATGTACAGATACAGGACTTAGATGCAGAAGGTACTAGAATTGAGGCCAAAGATCTAGGTATCACAACTTTTCAATATGGACTCCTCCCTACTGTTACTTCATCACCCCCCTTCCCAACATTCTTTCTTTTATATTTGAACTTCAAAACACTCAACTAAATAACGTAAATGAGATTTATTATTTCAACTCAGCTAAGTGGTCACTTTATAAAACCAAAAACCCAACCATTGAGCTAATAGTTAAGAGATCCTCAGAAATAAGCAGAAACTTGTCCTATCATCAATACAATTTGTTAAAATGATTCTAGGGATTACAACGGGAATTCATATGTAAAAAAAAAAAGGGTACAAACTCATTAGGCTGATTACAAGGTAATAAATACTTTAAAAATTGGGAGGGAGCAAATCAATCCTGCCACAGAGATCAATACTCCTATTTCACATTTTCCTGTAGCCACTCTACCAGATGGTTGGGTGGACAGAAAAATCCCGACACTGAGAACACGCTCTGAAAAAATCCCCACCACCTGACATACCTAAATCAGCCATACCTCTATGCTTCTAAGAGTTCTCTTGCAAAAATAGTACACTGAATGTACATTCAAAAACATTTCAGTACTTTCCAGCAATAGCAAGTATGATTTTTGACTTTCAGAAGACTACCTTTTCAGCTAATACCTAAGCACAAAAGTCTATGTAAAAACAGGGTCTTTATTATCTCACCCTGTCATATTAGACAACCTCTATTAATAAAAACTAGCAACCATAAACTCCAAAACCCAATTCAAGCAAAGATTTGGGGGAACCTGAAGACTTACTTGTTGTATTTAAGAACTTCCCCCTGGTTTGCAGCTTAAAAACAAAACTGACAATAATACCTAATTCGATGTACCCCCGCCACTAACCTTGGTAAAAACACTTATCAGCCACCACCCCATCCATCATCATATGTTGTGAGAAAACACAATTTATGTGTAAAAACTGACCAACATAAGACAATGCTAAGACTCAAAAGATCTACACAATTGTAGCTCTCTTCTTGGGCAAAAATGTTTAAGGTCAACTATAAAAATATCAATAATTATTACTTAGGTTTGGGGTTTGATATACCATAAGGGAAAAGGCTGTACAAGGCAAATTTAATTTACACCATTTCTCACCATCTGAATTCCTTTTCTTTTTTCTTTTTTTTTACCAAAACCAGTAGTACTTACCTTATAATCACTTGGAATTTCAGTTTGAAAATGCCACCTTCCAGTTTCAGACAATATCCACAATATTAAAGCATTTAATTAACCCAGTTCAAGAGACTCATACCTAATCACTCACAATGAAATAAATAAAACGATGCAAAACTATTTCTTCCTGCTCCACGTAAATTAATTTTATTAAGGGAATTTGATGCAATGACTACAATTCTCTAGGAAACAGACGAAGATATTCCAGTTTTTAAAGTTAGAATTTGGAGTTGGGGCTAAGAAATAGTACAAAAAGAATCCTTGATTAAGCAGAAAAGAAAAATGCAGAATCTGAAAGGCAGTCTGATGGGATGGTATCCAGATGGTATTCATTTCTACAGAAAATAAGACTTAAGTCCCTAGATCGCAAACACATTACTTCTTTAAAAATAGTCAATATTCTACCAAATTTTGACTTACATAACTGCTATGAGTGCCTCTTATGGCAAAGGTGTCAGCCTCTTTCCGTAAGTAAATAAAACACAGCATTTAAAATGTGGACAATTTTTTGAAATTCTGGGAAGAGACGTTAATTTGAAGAAAAAAAATTTTCCTTCTATATGGGTTTGGTCAGACCAGGAAAGTCAACTCTAATTGGACACATTTCTTGAATTTATATTAACTTTGACACAAAAAATCCAAGGTCGAGGTTTTGTAAAAGGTCGACTCTGCCATAAAACTGCCACACAAACCACAAACATTCAAGGACGTACCCTACCAATGCACTTAAAATTAAGGCAAGGGGACACACTAAACCAGTCCTAAGAGAATTCATTTTTTACCGCGCACACACACAACCATTCTGTTTAGAATAGAACAACTTCCAATACCTAAAATGTTGGGGGGAAATTTCTAGAGTTACTTTGGAATATGAGTGTCTCTATCAGAGATTTAGATAAAAATAAAGAGTGAGATAACAGCTGACCCGAGATTTGTATTAGTGATTTACAAGACCAGTCAGGAATGTTTGAGCGTCTAGAGTGGAATGAATTTTTCAGGCTCCAGAGGCTAGTGGCTTGTCAAAGATTAGCGCTGTGAACACCAATTTTTCACTACTTTCAAGGCACTTTGAAAAGAAGTTTTTAGCCCAGCAAACCTGACTGCTCTACCTACCTAGTCCTTTTTTATGGCATTTTAACTGTTCCACTAACCTTTATGGTTTGCCAAGCTGTCTTTGGGAGTCCAAACACATGTTTACTTTAGGTCTATTCTAACAATTTGTTTTGAAACCACCAGCTGGAAAGCAACAACATACAAACACCAAACCAAACGAAATGAAAGTATCCCATGACTTCAAAGTTTGGAAATCCCTCCCAGGAAAAGTCTGGACTTCTAAGAAAAAACAAAAACACTAATTACTGTATGTAGCTTGCAGTTATTTTATAGCTTTCTCTTCCATATTCTGTGTGACAGCGTTGTGAAAAACACTAGGATATACATCCTATTACATGAAAATACATCCCTTAAAAAAAAAAAAAAAACCCTAATGAATGAGATGACACTCCTTGAGTTGTCTCAAACCAGGACCTATATAGTAATTACAACTATTTCCCCCTTATATGTTATACTAATTTATTTTCCTTTGAGCATTTTTTCATCTCCTCGAACACACCACAAGTAACTTATTCAGGTATATTGAACCAGGAGCTCTCTAGTCAGAAACCAGTCATTTTGTAGTCCCTAAACTGTGTGCAAAAGTACCCAATAATTGGTTTTAGTATAGAAGAGAGGCCTCGTAAGTTCAAACCAAGTTGCACAGTAAATTCACTAAAATACCACGAACTAATGTCGTGGTATTTTAGTGAATACCACGACAAACGAACTAATATCGTTTATTCTTAAACCACCCCAAATCTGGTTTTTTGCGAGTTCGGTAAGGTATTTGTATAGATTTGCCTGATAATTACTGAGACTTTCAAGGTGACTCTACCCGAAAAACCTAACAAGTAACAAACTGTAAAAACACCCCAACTATTCCCATCAGGTTAAAAAAATCAACTTGTATAGTGCTTTTTATCACTGAGAATCTAACAAAGTCTCCGTAACCTCCAAATACGGAAGACACTGGCAATCCTTGCATTGTTTCACCTTCATTAGAACCTACACCACGCAACCAAGCTTTACATCATGCTGCTTAAAACCTAGGAACTGTTCTATCTCTGCAATTTAATCAACCCTCACCGAACTCCACACCTGGGACGTGGAGGAAAAAGAAAAAAAAAAAAAGGCACAAGTCGTGGCCCACAGAATTACAATACCTTAAAACAAAGGAAATAACCGCGCCATAAAATCATTGCCCGCCAATTTCTCCAACACACTCTAGCGGAAAAATATTCTGTAGAACAAGAAAATCGCGAAACCTCGTCATCTATTCCATTTTGGATACTCTGATAACGAGCCTGGGTACTCTGGAAACCCTCTCGTTATCAAAGAAAAAAACACTCCATTTAAACCTAACACAAAGCCCGCGCTCGCAATCCCCTCAAACTAACGGGCGGAGAATTTAATCTACCTCAAATTATTCCTCCCCAACCTAAAAGCCTCAAGAACACACTCAACTTCACCCTTTGGGGGGCCCATAAGACGATCCTTTCCTAACCTCAACACCCGTGAAAGACCCCAAAGAACGATGCCTTTTTTTTTATAACCCTCAAGTAGCCTTGAGAGGCGCGAGCCCAGACCGCGAGAACGCGCGGCTCTGCCGCCATTTTGTGCCTCTGGCAGCGCGCCCAGCCCGCCAGCCCAAGATGGCTGCGGCGAGGCTCTGCAGGAGAGCAACGGCGAAATAAGATACCGTTCCCCTCCCCCAACACCGAGGGGACGCAGCGGCCATTTTTAATCCCCCCTTACAACGGAAAAAACCGTCAACTCCGGTACGAAGCCATATAAACCTGCTTGCAGCCTCTTCACGACGAAAAACACTATCCACAAAGGCTTTTTCAACCCGACTCCCATCCTCCCGGCCTCAAGCTTCGGAGCCAAAATCGCCCGTCTCCCGGTCCGAGGTCGACGGGTCTGGAAACAGATGGAAGAAACTGGGACCACACAGCCGCCCCTGCAGCACCTCCACGTACCCGCTCGCCGTAGTTCTGCTCTCCGCTGTCGCTCATGACTCGTAGGTGCTGCCGCCGCTCGGTTCGAAGTGCTTCAACCGAAGATGCCAATCTCCTGATTCTTCTTTATAGAGGTTCCACAGCAGCCTGCCAGAGCACACTATTTCCCACGCCGCTAGGAAGCCAACTGCTCCGCACCACCTCCACACGGGATCTGTGGCTCCCGGACGTGACGCAGCGTCTTTAACCCGGCTCCACCCCCACCCAGAACGCGCGCTTTCTTGGCCCCTCCCCTCCGCCCTCGTTTTCCCTTTCAGTAACCGCGCCTCACTGACCGGATGTGACATCACACCGTCTCTCGCGGGGCGCTACCCCCTTGCTTGTTTATGTGAGGCGGGAAAGTAAGCACACTGACCTTTTTGGTGGTTGCCGCGGGGCGCCTTGAGGCCAGCCGGTAACCCCTGACTCTTTTGTGGAACTTTCCAGGGAAAGCATCGTGGTCAGGGGAAGGAAGAAGGAGATGCCCCCCCGTTTTTCCCATCTTTCATTTCTTTTTTTCGCTTTATTAATTTATATTTTTGTACCTTCTTTTGGCTGGAGAAGGCAGTTTTCCATGCACCTGGGTTCAGCACTTTGCATTTATTTAGTATTAATTGTAGATCTTTCCTTCTTGAATAAACGTTTCATTTGAGTATGTATTAAAAGCCAAAGCACTTGACCAAATTTTGATGCACTAAAGTCAGACATAATCTCCGTTCTGAAGAAGTTTGTGGTCTTATAAGGAGTCTGGTAAACGCACATTTGTAAACTATGACAAATAGTTATATGTTCGGCTTATGACGTAGTGGTTAGACAATCATCTCCTTTACAAAGTGTGCCTCCTGACATTTCCAGGACCCAGCTGCACCATACGTAGTTATTACCATATTATTGACTATGTTCCTTATGCTGTTCTATACGTCCCCTTGACTATTTTGTAACTACCAGTTTGAACTTCTTAACCCTCTCACCTTTTCACCCAGTCCCCAAGCCCTCGCCCCTCTGGCAACCATCAGTCTATTCTCTGTCTCTATGAGTCTGTATCGATTTTGTTCATTTTCTTCTTTAGATTCCACATATAAGTGAAATTCCTTTTCGTTGCTGAATAATATTCCACTGTATAAATACATCACATTTTAATTATTTCATCAGTTATTTTTATTAATATTTAATCAGTTGATAGATTTTTGGGTGGTTTCCATTTTTTAACTATTATGAATAACGCTGCTGTGAATATTCATGGACAAGTTTTTGTATCAACTTATATTTTCCGTTAGTTCTTTGGAAATATATTTAGGAGTGAAATTGCTAGGTTGTATGGTAACACTGTATAACTTTTTGAGGAACTGCCGTCTAATTCTAGCCACTCTAATGGATGTGAAGTCGTATTTCACTGTGGTTTTGATTTACATTTCCATAATAATGAAGTTGAACATCTTTTCATGTGTGGGTTTTGTCTTGTTTTGTTTTATTTTGCTTTTGCCATTTGTAGATCTTCTTTGGAGAAATGTTTATTCAGAAACCTTGCCCATTTGTTAGTTGGGTTATTAATCTTTATTATTGAGTTGAAAGAATTGGTGATTAGATTCTTGCTTGGTTTAAAATAGTCATCTGGAACAGCATCAGTATTTAAGGTAACTGAGATCCAGAGATTTGGTGATGAATCAAGATCTCTTTTACATGTTATCCAGAGCCAACCTCATATACTTTCATGGTGTCAGTTAGGGACCCATATGCTTATGGTTTCCAAATTGATATTTACAGCATTGAACACCATCATCAGCTTTATGCTGAAATTTCAGTTGCCTACTGGAGTATTTATTTTATTTGTCTGTTTATTTTTCTTTTTAGGTTTCACATGTAAGTGAAATCATATGGTATTTGTCCTCTGTCTGACTGATTTCACTTAGCTTAATACCCTATAGGTCCATCCATGCTGTATCAAATGGTAAGATTTCATTCTTTATTTGGCCAAATAATATTCCACTGTATATGTGTTATTGGAATATACCTGGATATTTCAGAGTCTTATAAAAATTAACATGTCCAATTTGAAATTAAAATAATTTTAATATTCTACCTCTCTTCTGCTCTCTAAATGACTCTGCTAAAACTTTTTTCTCTCTTCCTCCCATTATCAATTCTACTTCCTTTATTTTAAAAGTGTACTTGGCTGGTGTGGCTCAGTGGATTGTGCTGACCTGCGAACTGAACGGCACATGTCTGGGTTGCAGGCCAGGTCCCTCAATTAAGGGCATGCAAGAGGCAACCACACAATGATGTTTCTTTCCCTCTCTTTCTCCCTCCCTTCCCCTCTCTCTAAAAATAAATAAATAAAATATTTTTAAAAATTCATTTTTTCTTCTCTATCTCCCCTACCCCTATCACCATTTATCAGGGCCTCATCAACTCACTTATCTGGAGAATAAGCGTCTTAGAAACTAAATTGAGCCCTGGCTGGTGTGGCTCAGTGGATTGAGTGCCGGCCTGTGAACCAAAGGGTCGATGGTTGGATTCCCAGTCAGGGCACATCCCAGGTCCCCAGTGGGCCATGCTCAAGAGGCAACCACACATTGTCATAATTATTTCTGTGATTTTGGTTTTCATGTCTGTCTTCCCCACTAGACTGTAAGTTCCTTGAGGACAGGGGGCTTGTTGAGAGAATGAAGGAAAGCAAAGTATGAATTTAGAGTTGATAGAGCAGAATAGATATAGAACAGAATTTAGAATAATTGCCTTTATAAGTTCCTGACTGATTTGCTGAAAGCAGGGAAGATTGTCCTGGAAAAGACATGGAAGTCAGGCTGGAGGGCTTATGTGTCATTCACATTTGTATCTTCAGCACCTAGAACAGGGTCAGACTATTGAATGAGTGGCCACTCGGGGTGTGTACTATAAATATGAGGTGATGAGGACTGGACTCCCATGGCAATAGGAATGGAAAGTAAACAGCAATTGGATCAACTCTTAAGAGAGCAGACCTCACTGGTCTTAATGATGGGAAATCAGTTGGTCCTCAATATCCATGGGTTCCACATCCATGGATTCAACCAATAACAGATCAGAAATATTCCCAAAAATGTTATATTGCTGCTGACACATAGTTAGACCTATGGCGGTTGTGTCTGTATTGAACACATGCAGACTTTTTTCCTTGTCATTATTTCCTAAATACAGTCTGACAATACCGTCTGACAACTATTTACATAGTATTTACATTGTATTAGGTATTATAAGTAATCTAGAGATTATTTAAAGTATATAGGAAGCTATGCATAGGTTATATGTGTTTGTCATTTTATATAAGGGACTTGAGTATCCTCAGATTTTGGTATCTGCAGAGGATCCTGGAACCACCATATCCTGTGGATATGGAAGAACTACTGTATGAGTGGATAAAGGAAAATAAATAGTAAAAAATAACCATAAAAGTTTTCTGGGTAGGGGAGGTATATGCAGAAAAAAGCAATGTGGTTTGTCGTGAATATTCTCTGGGGTTTATTCCCACAGCTTAGAAAAAAGCCAGAGGCTGCCTCCAAATTTGATTATTGATTACAGAATGTAGACTCTCTCCCCCAACACCTCTTCCTTGTTCAGCATCTGTCCTGGAATTTACTAGTTCATTCTTTCTTCTGTTTCTTGTTTTATTTTTGCTCATTTTGTCATTCAATAACCTGGAGAAGGCAACAAAGGGCAGATCACAGAGGACCCTTCCATGCTTTTCTAAGGAGTTTATTTAGCAGGCAATAGGGAGGTAGTGAGGGGTTAAAAAAGGTGAGTTGTGCTGGCTGGCGTAGCTCAGTGGATTGAGCACGGGCTGCGAACCAAAATGTCGCAGGTTCAATTCCCAGCCAGGGTACATGCCTGGGTTGCAGGCTATAACCCCCAGCAACCGCACATTGATGTTTTTCTCTCTCTCCTCTCCCCTTTCCTTCCCTCTCTAAAAATAAATAAATAAAATCTTTAAAAAAAACCACCTAAAAAAGGGGAGTTATATGGTCATTTCTAGGTTTTGGAAAAGTGGTGGCAGTGTGGAGCATAAATCTGAGGAGCGATGTGGGCGAGGAAAACTGGAGACGGGGCATATGAGGAACAAGGCCACTGCCGTGAGCATACCTAGCAAGGGTCCATGAAAGCCGAGATCTAAACACTGTGCTTTGTACACCGAGAGGAAGAGCTTCTTTTTTCAAGTTCAAACAAAACATCATTTGGGCCAGTAACAGATAAGCCAGGACACCAGTTCCTAGACTCTTTTTTAAAAATTATTTTTTTGAGGTATAATGGACATAACATAATTTTCAGGTGTTTAATGCAGTGATCTTATATTTGTATATATTACAAAATGATCACTACAGTTAGGTCTAGTTAATACCCATCACCATACACAGTTACAAAAATTTTTTTTCTTGTGATGAGAACTTTCAAGATCTACTCTTCTAGCTATTTTTAACTATGTAATACAGTATTATTAACTATAGTCACTATGTTGTATGTTACATCCCCATGACTTACTAATTTTATAACTGGAAATTTGTACTTTTTGACTCCCCTTTACCCATTTTGTCTACCCTCACTTAAGCAACTATCAACCTGTTCTGTAAATCCATGAGCTCAGTTTTTTGTTTTGTTTTGTTTTGTTTTATTAGATTCCACATGTAAGTGAGATCATATGGTATTTATCATTTTTTTGCCTGACTTATTTTGTTTAGCATAATACCCTCAAGGCCCATCCATGTTGTTGCACTGGCAAGATTTTTTTTATGGTTGAGTAATATTCCATTATATATAATATTCCATTTAAATACACATTTATCCATCGATGAATGTTTAGGTTGTTTTCATGTTTTGGCTATTGTAAATAATGCTGCAATGAACATGGAGGCACATCTCTTTCTCTTTTTATGTGTTAATTATAGTTGACATTCAATATTATTTTATATTAGTTTCACATGAACATGATGGTGGTTAGACATTTATATAATTTATGAAGTGATTCCCCAATAAGTCTAGTATCCACCTGGCACCATACATAGTTATTAAAATATTACTGACTATACACCCTATGCTGTACTTTATATCTCTATGACTATATTTTGTAACTACTAGTTTGTACTTCATAATACCTTCACCACCTTTTTCACTCACCCCCAACCCACCTCCTTTCAGGCAACTATTAGTTTTTTT